ATGTAATTATTTTCAATTTGGGCCCTTATTTGTAATTATTTTCACTTTTTGGGCCCCTATATGTAAATTCCCCTAAATTATAAATTCAATTAAAGTTTAATCCATAAATACATTTGATTAAAAAGATCTAATCTTATGATTTAATTTTAGGAATGGCTTAATTAAGCAAAAAAACAAAAAGACAAAAAACGTAATGCAGATAGTTCTAAGGGTGCAGCTCAGATAACTCCGTTTTTAGAAATTCTTTTCCATTTTAATCAAAATGGAATGTGGCGGATCACCAGAAAAATAGAATAGCAAAAAAAATGAATAAATGCACATGTCCGAACACGATTATTAATGGAAATGATATTTCGACAAAAAAGATAGTAAGGGGTTAATACAATACCTTTCTAGAAATACGTAATCTACTACTATAATGACAAATACAAAACCATTAAAACACCAGCATTAAATACATTATTATTTATAAAGTTTTGGTACACCGTTTTTTCTAGAGCATATGTTATTGGCCTCTGATATTTACAGTAATCTTTATAGATACCAAATTTTATTTGTGATAAGTATTTTTTTCTTAGATTTTAATTAAGGTATAATTTTATTACAGTATTATATAATTAAATCAATCTTAAAAAGTTATTTCTGAAGATTTCGAACGCTTTCTATAATAAAAGAATTGGGCAAGAATCTTTTAAAAAATGTTAAAGTTAATACTATATCACGTTTAAGAAAAATATAGTTTTAATAATCTTAAGACTTACTATAATGTCAAAACATAAAGCACCAGTATTTCCAATTAACCAGGGAAGATTACCAAGCAGGTATTTCAATTCCACAGAGTAAATGATAATCGACTATTATATATAAGTTAGTTTTTTAATTATAAATAAAATGAAAAATGACAAAATTATTTAATACATACAAGACAAAAAGTGATATTTCCTAATGCGCAATAACAAAACATGGCCAAAGATAATCCTTCAGTCGATTGTAATTTATAATTTTTGATGACCTGTGGAATTCTTGCCGTGACTATTATAATATATAATAAATATGTTATATGATGAATAATTAACACATTTAAAACTAAAGAAAATAATAAAAGAATTGTTTAGTTACAATAACACGTGGCACTAGACCATCCGAAAATTTGCGGTAATAATTTCAATTCTAGTTCGTCACTTTGATTATATTCTGTCTTCGTTTGAGAAGAAATAATATAAGCAAGACCCCCAATCAAACATATAACAAAGAATCCGGCAAAAACTTTCAAAAATTGTTTAAATCTTGATTGACGCATTGGCTTTTGTGATTCTACGTTTGAATCATTATGTTTAATAAATTCACCAGTAGATTCGTCAGAGGTATTATTAGATTCTTCAGATTTATTATCAGATTCAGCAACGTCTGGTGTTTTGCGGGAGCGGTAATAGTAGGTTTGCAATAATAAAGAGATATCAATCAAAGCGTTGTAGAGCGCGACGAGAATCTATAATTAAAAGTCTGCATTAATATTAAATAGTAATATAGAAATTGAGTATATACCACTTACCACCGTTAGTAGTAAGTTTTGTAAAATAGCGCCAATCAAATCAAGCAATTCTCCCATGATCCATATATATATTAAAGCTAATGATACTGAACTGCCAGATTTTCGTTTATAGTTTTCATAAAGTTGGCTGTAGGAAATTAAGAATTATTATGATATCTTTTACAGCATTGATGAGAGTGATAAAAGATCACTTACGGAATTGTAACACAAATCCAACAAGCTAACGAAATGAAACCAACTACTCTTGAATAAACTACATGTTCTGAATCAGCCATTTTTTTTTAATTAATCTTAAAATTTTATGTCAGAGTAAATATAATAAAAATTTAATAATTTATCTATTTATTTCAAGAAAACGATTCGAAGTCTTTTTCTTTTATCTATGATCAATTAATTATTTTATACAGTATTTGACAGCTATTAAAAGACAATTTACAATCTACTAGTTATTGCTAATATTCTGGCATGCAGGTTGTTTACTAAAAGTCTAGACATTCAATATCAAAGTAATACAGCAACTTGATTAGTCGTTATATAAAATATATGCACAGAATATATCAGCGATTAATTGATCATGAACCATTAAATTTACAGCATAATTTTGGTTAATAAAGGCTTTATTTCATCTGACCCTACTAAGGTTTTGTAGTTGCAACTTTCATATTAAAATCATGTGCATGTGCAATAATTTGGATACGTTATTTCCAAGTTAGTGCACACGCGTAATTATTACGAAGCAATTTTATATGAAACTTCTACTGTAAAATCTACAATGCCATATTCAACTGACCTTACTAGTAGTTAAAAGCTCGTATGGTGTGATTTATCTAAAAAATCAAAATTGTGACTTCTCTATGGATTTCTGAAAAAAAAAGGTATTGCTTTATATTCTTCCTATAAATTAACGCGTTTTTTATAAAATTTACTTTTTTTATGTTGTGAAGACGGTTTTATTTTATAGGTTCAAACGTTTAATTAAATTTGTATTAATCTATATCCGTACCCTAACTTGGAAGTCAAGTGAACGGCAGAACCCATTTTGGAGTAGATTTTCCAGGCGTATCCTCTTTAAATAGCATTCAATCGTACAGAGGACGATCAAAATTTATCGAACGACGATTTGTCTGTGTCACGATAAAATTTTCAGCGTAACTTAACTACCAAAAATTTACCCCTATAATGCAGGAGATGACTCTTCATGCAGTAAAACCTCCATAAGTGCGCTTTCTATAAGTGCATACTCAAATATCTGCCCAAATATACACATAATTTCCATCGATGCACTTTTTCTTATAGTTCTCTAAGTGTACATTGTTAAAGTTTGGTCCCAAGTACGTGTACTTATAGAGATTTTGCTATACATATATGAGCGTTAAGACATTCATTAGATGTTTTAAGAGAAAGTTCTTAATTTAGGGTGTTCTCAAGCATCTCAATCAATTAATTAAATAATGAACATGATGACGATATTTATAGGATGTGCATACTCTTTTTTTATTTTTCGTGATCTGCGTTATGCCACCTAAAACACCTTACAAAAATTTCTAATCAACTGGTTGCGAAACTTTAACTTCGGCTGCGTCGGCTTTTCAAAACTTTTATTGCAACAGCAACATATCAATCATTAGCGAATATTGCGAATCTTAGTATTTAAATTTTATTGAACGATAAATGGAATAGCAGAATTCATTATGGTTTGATTAAATGTTTAAAAGATGATATATTCATTTTACGTTCATATCAAGGCATCGATTATTATTTTAAAAGTTTCGAGCATTAAAAATAAAGTGGCTATTTTCATATCGGTTAGAAATTTGTTGAAAATTCATTGTTTATTGTGTTTGATATGTAAAGAATTAGTTGGTTTGTAGCTCGCTGATCTGTTCATCGCAATGGCAGCTCACTTGGTTAATTTATTCAATTTCCGAGTATTAATTTGCCTCAGATCCATTGAGTGAGGTGCTTGAGAACACCCTTACGCTTAGTTATTATTCTAAATCATTGGATTTTTATCAACTTATTATGGAAGCCCGTGGTTGTTTAATTGAATTATTCATTTGTTTCGTTAAAAATTATTACCTGTTGAATTCTTTTTAATTTTATATTACTTACATATAGGAAAAGTTAGGTTTGAAAGATGTTATGATCCTTCATTAATTTGTTTGAAATTTTCCTCTTTGACTTTATAATATTGAATTATTTCTAAACGATGTTTCACTTATAATTGTTGGAAATGAATATGATAATAGGAAATGCATCTTTATAACAAATTTATACTTTATTTTATTTTATTATTTTTTTTTGATGATATTTTAATGTCTTTAGCGCAAGTCATGTGATTAATATGGTTATAAAAACTGTACAGCATGTATACTTCCTTTCTCTTTTGGGATCGGAGTTAGTTACATACTGCATAAGTTGTATTCTTGTTATCTATATGCAATCTATTCGTGAATCATAATGTAATCAAGAAATTTGGTGTTTATATTTTACCACCCAAAACTCACTTATACTTGTAAAAATTACTATAAATTTTATATAATCTGACATAATATATATAAACGATGAACATCACTATGTAAAAAACTACGTAAGTTCACAGTAATTTTTTATAACATTTTGTACATTCTACGGACCTTCGGTAGTC